TAAGATAGTTCGTCTAATGACCCCCCTCCCTCTCAATTAAAATACCTTAAGAAAGGCACTCGTCAAAACGTTGGGGAAAACGGACCCCTGCAGAATTGAAATCGTCATGCTCAGATTAGTCTATTATTACCGAAATTCCACATTCGTTGGAAAGTTACGGCTTATGCCCAGTGGTGCAGGGGTCCGTTTTCCCCAACGTTTTGACGAGTGCCTTTCTTAAGGTATTTTAATTGAGAGGGAGGGGGGTCATTAGACGAACTATCTTATCTTCAACCTCTCACCTTGGCCGCAAGCAATCTGTTCCTCACACTAAGTGCTTCATTATTGAAGGCCCTTGTCCCGTCATCTCGCGCTGCTTTGAAAGACGATTTAGCCCAAGCAAAGCTTTCCTTTGAAATCGATTTCAATTTATCAACCTCTGCTGTAAACACATCACGGTCAAGGGCGGCTAAGCTATCAATTCTGTCGGCTATAAACTCGTGCAACTGAATGCTTCTGTATTTGCTTCGGTGCGCTTATCTCCGCACAAAATTCGATCTAAACTCGTTACAAGCATTTCCATTCCCTCTTCAAAGAAACTGAGGCAACTCTTCAATTCTTTTTCGTCTTGATTTGTAGTGTCTGCCTTGTACGTGTAAATATGGTAGCTGCTGGTTGGCGGAGGACTTGGATTGTACCGCCGCAAGCGAGACTGAGAGGAGTCGTTTTTTAACGCATAACTAGCACCAGCAACACCAGCTTTTATACCACTGCTAATAAGAGTTTTTGCCAGCCAACCAAAAGGCATATTGTGAAGTAGAGCGACGTTCTTGCAAAACACCAGTCAGTCTGCAACGCGGAATCTAGAGTTTTGGTTTACGAAAGTAGTGGTGAATTGCTGCGCACTTTCGCCGCACCTGAAGCGCTACAGGGTTCAGCCTGTCCAGTAGCACTGTGTGATGAAAATACAATCATTCAGACGGATATCCATGACCCGAATATCTACCTCCAAACCGATACCGGTACAGAAATCCGACAATTCCAAGTCAAAGAAGCGAGAGGATGGAAATACATTGCGTTTAATCCTATCAGTGGTGAAATCGTTGTCTCTTATCTGTCCGAAGATCTAACGAGATTTCAGCTCAACGCTTATCTTAAAAATGGGCAACTTTTAGGGACAATTGATTTGCCAAGTTATCACACATCTCATCCGCGGTCTGTGACTGTCACACCACGTGGTCGCATTGCTATTCTTTACGAAAGTATTGTGCATCTAATCTGAAGCAATGCGGAGTAACTTCCCCGCAAACGAAAACATATTTGACTGTGGATTTCAGTGCCAGTACAGTGTTTTGTAGTTTTTAAATCACGACAATATTTTTATGCATGTTTTTACAGTTAATTTTGAATTCAACGAAAAGTTATAATAGACTATATAGACATAGTGAAATTAACAGCAGGCAGGTATCAAACCTGCGCCAAAGGGCTTTTATAAAACCTTGACTGATATAAGTGAAATTAGTAGATTATAAGATTTCTACGGTGATTTTTACGAATTCAACAATTGGCAGGAGTCAAAGTCAAAGTGTCAAACCCGCGCCATATAGAAACCGTAGAAATCTTAGCTTTTATAGAAACCTTGATATAAGTGAAATTAGTAAATTTTAAGATTTCCACGGTGATTTAATATGGTTAGAGCCAGAAAATGTCTGTTTTAAGTGCGAGCTGTGGCTGTTTTATACAGGTCAAGTTATTGTATTTTATAAATTTTCATATCTTTTGTCAGTTAAAATAAGTAAATAGAGTCTGATTTTATGTAACATCAATCTTGAAATATATATCTAGTACGTACTGTATAGATTTTGCTCATAACTTGAACTCTTGTCGGGTCACTACAGGATATGTCCGTATTAGAATGTACCCGCAAGGACAATGGCACCGTCAAGTCTCCCCCCCCCCCACTACCCCTCCTCGATGTTTTTCAGTCAGAGTGTGGTAGTAGATTTGCTCATTGGACGCATTGGGTTCATAGTGATTTATCAAGACCTATACATTTTTCTGTAAGTGCCTCCAAAATGCAGAAATGCCGTTTCAGCTAGAGACCTGAAATTCAATTTTTTCCCTGGACCCCTAGTATTGTGACGTCACAAATTATTATTTTAGCTCCCCCCCCCCACCTCCCCCTCAAAAAACCTCCCCCAATCTTGGCGACGCCACTGAGCAAGGGAATGTTCGACTGTAGAAATTGAACTGTCTTTATGACCTTTGATTCTATTTTTTAAAGTTTTTGGGAAGAAGTGTGGTCCCTGTTCCAAAAGCCAGACTTTGACTTCTTCCTCGTGTCTTATTTCTCTTTGCACCAAAAAGATTCTGCGATGTTGATTTTCTGACGTTCACACTCGATCTCCTCGTACCATGTGTATTCGCTTTCAGCCTGTCCGCACCGTCTTGTTGAGAGTTCGGGTCCACATTCATCTTTTGGTTTAGTTTTTCTACAAAAAAATACGAAGGGTCTTGTTTATTGGACCTAATCAGGAACAGTTACAAAAAAAATGCAACAATTAATAAACCCTCTGGCAGAAATCAGACCTACGGCTACAGTCTTGCGATTCAGTTGCAGCGCTCTAAGAGGTTCGAGATCCCATTTCCCAATTCGAATTTTCTTTAAATCCAGTTTTCCAGCCCTTTTATCAAATCCCCTGTGAAATTGAAAGAAAGTTCCAGTGCAGATGGTTCATCAATGTGATGTCTTTTAAACACAATTTGCGTTCAATTGCCCCTTTTAGAACCAGTTTTTTTCCGAGGAAAAGGTATATCTTTGATTTGCAATAGCAAAAAAAATTACCTCATTGAGCCATAAGTCGGTTCAATTCAGTATTCCTGGACCTTTTTTATACAAATTCTGTATCAAAAATTGCTCTGTAGCTAGATGTTCTTAAAGTTATTTCACTCTGAAATATCCAACTACAGACAGTTGGTCTTTATGATGGTACATTGGTTTTCTTATTCCCATACTTGTGTCTTTCATTCCAAGTGTCAGTAACTCGAATCCATTTACCAGTCCAATAATAAGCAAATCCCAGTTCCCCTTTACCCCTTCAGGATCCTCCTCTATCCAACTGAGCTACAGAGGCCAGTTGTCGAGCTCTAACCGCAAGTTCATGTATATTTACCATCCGTATTTCGCATACACAATTTCTCGCGAATAATTTCACCGTCGTGAATGAGGACTTTCAAGTGATATTAAGATAACAACTTAGTTTCGCGTAATTAAAGTGCATATGACATGAATTTTTTCATTTTCTTAAATGAAAGAACTCTTTAAGCTGTAGTGTAACTTATTTTTCAGTTTCTTGTTTTCATGGTTTGTTCCCGAGATATTTCAATTTGTTTGGTATGTAAATGAGTGTGAATATGTCCACTAATTTATGACGTCACGTTGGTTGCAAGCTCAACCTACACTGGTTATAAATCTATTAACTCTAAAAACTGTAGATATCAGTTCACGTTTTTCTTCAGTATTTTATTACATTTACCAGTGAGTGAAGTTACAAATTATCATTTGGGATGATAGCAGTGATATTCAACCATTTTGAAGAGCTTGCAACCAACGTGACGTCATAAACTAGCGGACATATTCACACTCATTTACATACCAAAGAAATTGAAATATCTCTGGAACAAACCATGAAAACAAGAAACTGAAAAATAAGTTCCACTACAGCTTAAAGAGTTCTTTCACTTAAGAAAATAAAAAAATTCATGTCATATGCACTTTAAAATAACTTCTAAAGATATATATAAAATTCCTTTACCGATTTTTGTATCTTGTTCAATGAAAAAATTGATACACTATGATTTTTTCTGTGTTGGTGTGATGTACTCACGTGAATTGATTCACTATATTGCACACATACGTTAACTGATCACATGGTAGCTTGTTGTGGCAAAATTAATAACTCAATAAAAAATCAATAACTTACCCAGAAATTCTTTATTGCCTTGTAAGCTATGTAAAAGAGGGACGCAGGTTTCGTCCAGGGAGCCAGGAAACCCTAATTGAAAAGATTCGTAGAAAATCTTCAATCACTTCTGGTTGTTGGTGGAGTTTGGTAGACTAAATTAAGTGCATTTGCGACTTAATAGATTTGACTCCTCTATTGAGCAGTGTATGTGTATCCAGTATCAGTGGCGTAACTACTATGGGCTCAGACCGGGTAAACCCGGGGGCCCCCAACTCAAATGGGGGCCCCCAGGCTTAGGCGATAGGGCAAAAACATTGGCCAGGGCCTCTGATATGTTACAATGTCGTTTTATGACCATCAGTAAAATCTCTCCCCAAAGTCCAGGAAATGGCATGACCTGGACCCCCTAGAAAACTCGTGCATATACGGCGCTCGACTCGTGCCTTTGGCACCTCTACTAGGGGGGCCTTCGGAAATTTTGAACCGGGGGCCCCCTGATATAACGTTACGCCACTGTCCAGTATGTAGAAGTCTAGTGTACAGTAGGTAGTATTCTACGATGAGCTGCATTGGTTTAATCATAGTTAATAGAATAGATTGTTTGAAAACTCCTTAGAATAACAACATAACTCGTTATCTATGTTAGTCAACGTTTATTCATAAATATGTTCCTTCATCGTCACGTGTGTATTGTATTTTTGCCATATCGACCAGTAGCAATTTCCAATTACGCTATTGTTCGAGTCACGGATAGGTAACTTTCCTAAAACATTGCTATTGGTTAGTCGGGCAAAAATACAATACGCACGTGACGGTGAAAGACCAGATTTATGAATAAACGTTCACTAACATAGATAGTGAGTTATATTGTTATTCTAATGAATTTCCAAACCATCTATTCTATTAACTATGGTTTAATTTGTGTCTGAACTACCTAAAATGTGGATTAATCTCAATGTAGGTAGCATTCTACAATGAGCTTGGTTTGCGGTCGCTGAACTACCTGAAAAAGATATCTCAAATGTGGCCATGTGCATGGGGGGGGGGGGGTCAGTGTAAGTAGTATTCTAAAATAAGCTCACATGGTTTATGTCTGAACAACCTTACCTCAAACGTAGTGGTCCATGCAGTGTAGGTAATATTGCTAGTATTCTACAATACATTGCCGTAGTTTGTGTCTGAACTACTGGAAAATATTTCAAATGTGGGAGTCCAGTGTATAGGTAATATTCTACAATGAAGACATTTCGAGGGAAGACTCTGAACTCGTTCAAAGGACAGTTACAACTCGAAATGATCATAACTCACTTTCAATTTTTACAAGGATAAGTGTGTCTCTTTCTTCCATATGTTTGATAGCATAGTCCGCAGGATTCGATAACAGATTTTTTCGAGCACCAGTTTGGTCTGAAAGATCAATTACATCTAGAGAAAAAAATGAATTCTTCCATTGTTCCATGCCATTTGTCTATTAACTGATGACTTTATTATTGATCGCTCTTACTATAAGTTCTAAACTTTTTCTTTTTAAAAATTCAAGAACGACCATCCCCCATTGACATTAGCCCAGTGTTAATACGGGAGGAAAGGCTATTCTAACCTAACTATATATTTATTTGCATATTCGACATATCTAAATTGTTTTCTCTCCAAAGATCCAGCTAGAGCTTTTTTGTTTGGCGCCAGGAAGTGCCCGAAGAAACCCTGTCGTGTTTGGTACAGGCAAACTGGAAGCATTCGTTTCACGTGCGCTTCATGTGCGAACTGATCATTATCATGATGTTACAAATCTCTTCACAAGCTGTCGACAAGTTGTATTCGCACTGCTTCTTCCTGGTTGCAAGAGAGCCTGGGTACGAGGTCCTTCTTGTTGTAATAACAAGTCTGGAACAAGCCGTTAGGCTGTTAGCAACTTGCAACAAGCTTGGTGGCATTATCAGACTTGTTACATGGTTGTTCTAACAAGTCTGATGCAGTCATGATATAACAAGGATGTTACAAGATTGACGACACAAGGTTGTAACAATATTTTTATATCATGACTGTGTCGTACTTGTTGGAACAACCTTGCAACAAGTCTGATAATACTATCAACAAAATTGTTACAAGTTGTTAACAGCTTGTTCCAAACTTGTTGACCACTTGGGACAAGCAGTGCGAACACAACTTGTTGACAGCTTGTTGGCAGACTTCATGCTACATCAATATGCGAGATTTTTGCGTGTGTAACAATTCCCCTGCACTGTTAAGATTCAGCATTTTTACCATCTTTCAAGAGATCACATCTCTCCTTAATGTTGTCCAACAAGATACATACTTTACAATGAGGATTGAATAACTCTTGACGGTTATCTATAATGAACAATCTGATCACGACATGCGGCTTTGAATATGCCAACCATACAGTAGTGATAAAACCCCGCTACCAAGCCCCGTTTCCATTGGCCGAGTCATATGCAGTAGCCTTTATCTAATTCGAGTGTGAAATTTTCGCGTGATATGTAAGATTCACAGCCTTGCTGTAGACTTTCTACTGAAATTATAATATTTGTTTATACTAAGTGTAATACTGTGGAATATAAACTGTAAAATGTTTTGATATTGGACAAAAGATGAAAGCTTTACCTTCAAGCGGATTATAAAATTATACGACAAAACAGCTGCTAAATCAGCTGTATTCTAAATAACTTTATCTAGCATAAACTTTAAAATTATAATATATAGTTGGACAAGTGTTTATAAATCGATATGCTTTACCTCCAAATTTAACAGTGATAAACATATCCACTATTATGCCAAATCAGAGTATCTTATAGTGTCCTCACTTGCGTTTTGAGTCAGCTCTAAAGTTTAAATAATCCACGACTTCAATGTCCATGCATCAAAAAAAAGAAAATATAACGTTGTTATCTTGAATATGGTAATTGAGAGTAAAAAATAAGTCCTGCTATTGGTTGGTTTGTGAATCCACCTGCTACAACTGACATAATTATTTATTGCCAAGCATTGTGTTTAAATTTTTGTTGTAGTTGTAGTTATGGAAATTGACTGCTCTTGGACTGTATGCCTCAAGTTACGTCACATATACGCCACGTTTAATGAAGTTGTGAAAGGATTTTGCTTGTTGCCTTTTCACGATTTTTCCAAATTTTGATTTATTAAACCTTTCTAATGAAGTGTGACGTATTTTGAGCAATTGAAATACGTGTTTCAGCCCTAAATCCTATCAATGATGCTTTAAAATTGACGCCATATATATTACAGCCATATAAGCAAAACTTACTGAACTTCAGAGATCATTTTCGCTTTGGCGTATCATCTAAAATCTCTTCATGATCATTTTAGCATTATTTTACAGATAACGTACTAAACATACTTTTTAAGTTTGTTTGCCGAATTGCCGATTGAGAAATGTATCGAAAAATAAAAATTTTCAATTTTATAGTCATAACCTCAAGTGATCATATATTGTATATACGCATTAGTTTTGAGCGCTGTTATATACGTAATATACAAAAAGTCTCTTAACACTTTATATTATATTAGTTTGAAAATTGATTAAGCTGGATTCAGTTAGGGAGCATTCATTTTTTAGCTGGGGGGGAGGCGGAGGAACTGATGTCTAATTCCATGCTAAAACTTGCAACCCCCGAGAGAAAAGTTGATAAAAAATTATGACCCACTATTTTTTTAACCAAATATTTTTTGACCCCTCATCCTAAAATAATCCACACGGTGTCGTTTCTGTAGCGTTCCAGGGCCGTATGAAGCTCTTATTGATAGAGAAGCTGTGGCAGACTAAAGAAAGCAGAAATTTTAATCTAGAGTCTCTGCAATGGCATTTCCTGGACTTTGGGGAAAATTTGACCGAATTCTGATGATCAGAAAACAGTGTTTTAGTATGTTAAAATTTACAATTTGGTATCACTAAATGGGCGAAAGCGTATTTAATTAACTATATATTGGATAACTAGGATAAGTTGCAGGAAACTGTGGGTAATATATTCATTCTTTGCAGTTTGTCATGGATAATGTAGCCGCTTCCAAATTCTATAAAATTATATTGGTAATTTTTTCACTGATTATTTTTATGACCCCCCTCCATTTATACCAAAACTATAAAAAGACCCACCCCTTTGAAGCATGTCAAAATTGGCTGACCCACCCCCAAATTCCTCCGGCCCACCCCCAGCTAAAAAATTAATGCTCCCTTAGGTGATACGTATCCAACTGCATACGTTTCAATCATATAGTCGTCCTGGGGACGGTTGTTCAAAGGTGGGTTAGCGCTAACCCTGGGTTAAAATTTAACCTGCTGTTTTAGTTTGTGTTTTTCTGCACGTCTGTTGTATTCAAAACTTCTGAGAGAAGTGACTATGAACCTTGTCCTAACGGCCAGGGACCTTGTCCTCTGCGCCAGGAACCTTGTCCTCTGCGCCAGGAACCTTGTCCTCTGCGCTAGGAACCTTGTCATCACCGCCAGGAACCTTGTCCTCACCGCCAGGAACCTTGTCCTCACCGCCAGGAACCTTGTCCTCACCGCCAGGAACCTTGTCTTCAGCGCCAGGAACTTTGTCTTCACCGCCTGGAACATTGTCCTCACCGCGAGGAACCTTGTTCTCACCGCCAGGAACCTTGTCCTCACCGCCAGGAACCTTGTCCTCACCGCCAGGAACCTTGTCCTCACCGCCAGGAACCTTGTCCTCACCGCCAGGAACCTTGTCCTCACCGCCAGGAACCTTGTCCTCACCGCCAGGAACCCTGTCCTCACCGCCAGGAACCTTGTCCTAACGGCCAGGGACATTGTCCTCTGCGCCACGAACCTTGTCCTCTGCGCCAGGAACCTTGTCCTCTGCGCTAGGAACCTTGTCCTCACCGCCAGGAACCTTGTCCTCACCGCCAGGAACCTTGTCCTCACCGCCAGGAACCTTGTCCTCACCGCCAGGAACCTTGTCTTCAGCGCCAGGAACTTTGTCTTCACCGCCTGGAACATTGTCCTCACCGCGAGGAACCTTGTCCTCACCGCCAGGAACCTTGTCCTCACCGCCAGGAACCTTGTCCTCACCTCCGGGAACCTTGTCCTC